TCCCAGTCTGTTTGGGAGGGACTCCACTCTGCCATGCTCATGAAAAGCCCTGCTTTATCTGTGAGCTGCAGAGGTACTTCACTGTTAAGTGCATATGGCCGTGACCTAACCCTCAAAGAACAAGTTAGTGGCAGTTTTCCTATTGATGTCAGTAAAGGTAAGAGCAACGGATTATTTCCCAGAAGATAAGAAAAGCTGAAGTAAAACAACCTAATAAATACCTGACATTGTGTCCCTTTCAATGTCACAATAATCTGAAGAAACAAATTGCTGACCATCTGCTTGGGTGAGGTATAGAGTTCCCTCAGCACTCTTTCAAGTCAGTAGCAGCCATATGGTAACTGCTTCTTCGCCTGAATTCCAGCTTTTGTGCAAACTCAGGCACTGGACATTGAGGTATACCCTTTCCCAGAGGACAAAATCCTGTGCCATGAGTTATAAGGGAAATGCACTGTGGAGACTGCCGTGTATTTTGAGTGAAGCTATTGGAGGGCTTCGGTATAGAGCAATTGTTTTGGTAACGTTCAGGTAGAAGAGGTAGTAGTTCTCCCTTTAGAAGGAAATGCAACTTGTTCAAAACCTTTTTCTTTCTTCTCTCTGCGATATCTACAGTTTTCTTCTCAGAATTTTTGAGAGAATTCAGCCAGTTCTGTGATTCTGGTTCATTGAATTCTGAGTTACAGATGTGTGGATACAGTCTTTTTTTTTTGCTAGAGGATGTACTGTGAACATGTACTGTTTGCATTTTAGGAACGCTTCATCTCTATTCATTAAATGAAGGCAAGAGCATTAGAAAATAGTGCAGTGTGTCTGAAAACAGTCTCTTAATCTGTGACATTACAGTAAAAATATTTGGCAGTGCCATGGCTGTGTAAACATACTGTATTTTGTTTGCTTTTTTCCAGGTACAATTGTAATGAGGATAAATGCAACTGATGCAGATGAACCAAATAACCTAAATTCCAAAATTGCTTTCAGGATTGTTTCCCAAAGCCCTAGCGCTGCTTTCAGTATGGATAAGGATAGTGGCGAGGTTCGAGTAGCAAGAATAAACCTTGACAGAGAGGTAAAGAAAACGCTCCCATTTTTAATCTGTTAACAGTGGTCTTCTGATGGCTGTTGTATTCCCTTCAGCTTCACCAGCCCTCTTACCTTCCTTCACCTCCCTTAGGATTAAAGCCTTGTCTGGCTGATGCATGTTTTTCAGGGACTGGGGAGGGGGAAGTGTTGAGATCAAGGTCATATTCCACCTGTCACCCCTCTAGCACATCACCAGCTTGATGGCTGTTGCCTCCTGTCCCTCCCATGCAGCCAGAACAGCAGTTGCACAAAGCAAGAGGTCATTTCTCCATGCTGGAGAGCATATGGCAAAGACAACCCAGATCACCATCTGCAAAGCCGCCGAGTGCATGTAGATATTTCTAGTCTGCTATGCAAATCGTGGTGCAAAGATTTAGGATGGGTGCTGCTGTGAAAGCAGCATTGAAAGCCACATATTAGCAGCAACTTTACCTGTGCTTGCATGAATTTTCACTGGCCAGCAGATGGTGATCTGGATGCTGGCTCTGTGGCTGAGGACAACATCTCTGCCTCTAGCAGGTATTGCCGGTTCTGTCCTGATTTATGGCCAATGAAATTTTTTCCTTTGCCGCATAAGTTCAACATGGGGGAGATGTAAAAGTCCCAAATCCTTTTCAGAGCCTCAGCTCTACTCCAGCAGAGCCTGTCAAGGTAGCTGTGTGTGAGATTTTGCTACTAGCTGGAGAGAAAGGGAGTTATAATTGGCCATGAGAGGGATTATCAAAATGTAATAAGGATAATATAGCAAAGGAAAAAAATTTAGCCTGGTTCAAACACTTTTTTCTTATCATGGCAGACACAAAGTAGCTATTCTTTGATGGTGGAAGCAAAAGACCGTGGTGGTGAAATAGGTGGGAATGCTGCAACATGTTCTTTAGAAATCAAAATTTTGGACGTCAATGACAATCTGCCTGTGGTTGAAAGTCATGCAGTAAGTACATTTATCACAGTATTTCGCATGCTCCTACGCCTGCTGGCATCCCATTCCTTAATACAAGATTGTGCAAACTTTCTCGCACTGGAATGAGGTAAATCATGACATCTTTTTAAAGAAGGGTGTTTTTCGATTGCAGTTTGAAGGAAGCGTTGAAGAAAACAGGGCAAACGTGGAAATTCTGCGAATAAAAGTATTTGACAAAGATGAAGAGTTTTCTGATAACTGGCTGGCGAATTTTTCGTTTGTTTCTGGTAATGAAGGTGGCTTTTTTCGTATAGTAACAGATACCCAAACAAATGAAGGAATTTTGACTCTTGTGAAGGTTAGTATAATCTTTGGAGAGTCTTTAAATATTAGAAGAATGTATTCCCTTGAAGTTGACATACAAATTATTTATATTCAATCAGTATTTAAACTGTAAATTTACATTGTGGACACTCCTCTTTTGGCATATTCTTTGCGGTCATATTCAATGATTCCTTTCAAAATAATAATTTTGTCCAGGTTTACCATTTACATTCTGTGTGATCTCAAATATATCTAGTGGGGCAAAAGTCCCCAGACTTTCCATGTCAGGCAACAGTGCTAACACGTATGCTTTAAAATTTCCCAAGTTTTTGTTCTCCTTGCTGGTCTCAGTTTAAATTTCTTTGTTTCCCATGGCCACAGGTAATGTTGCAGGCAACACCTATTCCATGAGCCATGGGCTACAAACTATTTTATGAATTTGCATAAATCGAAATTACGAAAATATTTTCCATAAAGGGAAATTTTATTTTGTGAATTTTGCTCCCTGTTAGTCCACAGGAACTGAAGATGCATAGTGTCTTAAGTACCTTTTTTTTTTTTTTCTGATCTGATTTCCTTATCTGAAAACTGATAATTGTAAAACATTGATAAGCATTATTAAGTAAATGAATTGGTTTAAAAAAAATAAAAAATTGGAAGAGTCAAGTAATACCGAGCACTGATTCATTCAAAGGAAAGACAGAATATATGGGTAGGACTCATTGCACCTACCTTAAATTAGTTTAAATTCAACAGTATAAAGACATACCTATGGTGCCATGCATTAAAAATAAGAAGAGTAATCTCCCTTATGTACTTTTTTAAAGAGTTGAAGCATTATGTGTTGAGAGTAACATGTTAGCCAACAGTTCTTTGCAAGATAAATAATAATAATTAATATAATTAATATTAATTAATAACAAGGATGCTAAGTATTTTTTAAATATTAAATGTATGAATGTTGTCTAGATATCAAATTTTGTCAAATCCTGACTGTTTTGTTTGGTTTTTTTTTTAATTGCTCTAGGAGCTGGATTATGAAAAAATGCAAAGCCTGAACTTGGGCATTGTTGTTACAAACAAAGCAGAGTTCCATAAGTCAATTAAACACAGTTATAAAGCACAAACAATTCCAGTCAAAGTTCATGTGATTAATGTGCGGGAAGGCCCTGTATTCCCCGGTGGCACAAAAATTATTGAAGCAAGTGAGAAACTGCAGATAAAACAGGTTATTGGACAGTATCAAGCCTACGATGAAGACACTGGAAAACCAGCAGAGCGCATTACGTAAGAATCTTTTTATGACCGTCATAACTGTGTATGTCAGAAATCTTATCTTATTGTAAAAATGTATATATTGAACTGAAATAATTTCCAAGGCAATTGTTTTCTACTACACATAATTCACACCTAAAACAACATCATCATCCATATTCTGTTATGCAGAAAATAGCTGAGGTGAAAATCCTACTTGTTTGGTCATATATGGTGAGACGTGAGTGTTTGGGCTGAAGCTCTCTGTGCTTGCATGCTGTTTGTCATGCCTGTCTACTTTTGAGAGCAGATTTACTCATCTGACTTCATCATCTGCAGAAATGTTAGGAAGAAACACGCGGAAACATCTAGCAGAAAGAGTGTAAAGTAGATAAGGCTGTGTGTGCATGCGTGTGTTTAGATTTTGAATCACGGCTCTTAGCTAAATGTTGTTGAATCACCACCATGGCTTTTACAAATGGTGCAGACCAGCAGAGGTGCATACCCAGCAGCGGACCCCTCTCCCCCACACCTGTAATACAGTCTATCCTGGGTGGCTGCCGCTCAGCTTTTGCTAGGAGCGGAGGTGGAGGGGAAGAGGACCACAATCAGCAGCGTGGATCCTTCTCCAGTCTCACTCCCTCCACACCTAAATCTTGGGTCTAGAGGGAAAAGCAGGTTTCAGCATTCAGGGTAGGTTTATAATCTTAGGTTTATAGTTGAAACCAATTCCAGTGGCAGGAGCGTGAGACCTCAGACCTAGGGGTTTGGTCTCTGCTTTAAACAAAGAGCAAACATACTGTGGAGCTGCTTTTTCTGCTGATGATTGTTTTCCTACTTACACATGTGTACATCCTTGTGTGCAATTTTAATCAGGTACATGAAAGGAAGAGATACAGCAAACTGGGTCACAATAGACTCAGCCACAGGTGAAATCCAACTTGCCAAAAAACTCGATTACGAATCGTCGCATGTGGTAAATGGTACCTACACTATCACCATGTTGGGTGTGACTACTGGTGAGTTGAGAGGGTTTTGTTTTCACGCTAATTGGTTTGTTTAGGGTTTAGTTTGCCTTTCTGCAACTATGGTTGGTTTAACCTCGCTATCTTTAACTGCCTAAAAATTAGGTGCCTCATGCAGTTTCCCATAGGCTCTGTATTTGAAGGAGAGACACGAGCCACTCATTGGAATAGGATCAACCTTGGAATGGGTTCCCAAGGCACTTGTGTCTCTTTGACTAGATGGGGGTGAACTTCTTGTAAAACTTTTTCAAAGACCAAGTCTGATAGGAACTTCCCTTGTCAAGGTGGAAATTGCCAGTATCTCAATATGCTAATCGGCAGACTTCAGAGTCCTAAATTTTCTTGAATGCTAAGCAAGAAAGACTCCCTGAACTTCTTGTGTATCTAATTAGTATTCTCCTTTTATCATCTTCATGTTACTGTGTAACCATACACAGGAGATACATTTATTTTTTCTTAAGTTAAAATAGTAAAGCAGCTTGCCTTCAGAAGAACTTTGTCAAGATGTTTATTAGCATTAGGAATTAAATACTGCTCCTGTAATCTCCAGGGAGAGCTCTTTCAACTTATTTCAGCAATGTTTGTGTTTTGGAAAATATTAAGGGTTTTGTATTTTAAAATTAAATTTTTGCACTTTTCAAATAAATTTAATTTTTCAAATTTTAAAATCTTAGATTTTCCTAAGAAAACGGTCACCGGAACAGTCGTTATTCAAGTTAAAGATGAGAATGATAACTGCCCAATTATTGTGAACCCTGTGCAGACTGTCTGTTCAGATGCAAAATCAGTTGATGTTACAGCTAGTGATTTGGATGGTTACCCAAACAGTGATCCCTTCAGCTTTACTGTCATTGATGAGCCAGAGGGAACAGCAAAAAAATGGATAATTGCACCCAGAAACGGTAAGAAAATTTATTTTTAATTACTTTCAGTTCTTTGGAGTCCTAGTGTTGTAATTTGCTAATTCCGGTCAAACTGTCCGTTTGGTTGCTCCAGACCAAAAAAAAACATATATGAAGTCAAGCATGAAGGCACATCAATTGTGTTCTACTCCCTGCTCTCTAAAGGCTATAAAAGCACAGTCATGTCTTCTGGGGCCTGTCACCTTCCCTCAGTTGGACTATCTGTGCCTAGCTTGATGACCCATCTGCAATGACCAAGATTTCATGGCTGATGCTGGGATCAAGCCATTCCCATCTTCCCACAAAAAGCATGCAGTGATAGAAGATACTTTTTGTTAAAACTGAGCTTGAAGATACGATTGTGTTACTGGCTACAGTTGCTCTAACTTACAAATAAATAGATAAATCTGTCTGCACAGTGGGCCTTGAAAAGGGAAAATACAGTGTAACTTGTCTAAGATTGTCCAGTATGGTAGGAAAAAAAAAAAAAGTCAGAAATCATAAAGAATTTTAGTGAGTATTTCAAAATGAGATTAGCATCTTCTTACATTTCTCTTCATATGAGCCTGGGAAACGCTTGAAGGAAATGTTTCAGGTAAATTGAAGGACCAGAAAACACCTTTTTCTTCTAGACTCTTATTCTGTCCTCCATAATCCTACAGCATAACACTGCAAAGCAATCAGCAGAGTCATCCTAATGGCCAGTTTTAGGAACAAGAAGAAATCTTCTTAGCTTTCCTCACTCTGCTCGCAGCCAGACTAGCAGAAATTGTAGGGATCACAGCTTTTCCAAATAGGGTGACGTTCCCCTGCTGGGAGCATCATCGGGCATCTCTTGTCTAGTGTCCTTGACATGACGCAGCCACAGGAACAGGTGCTATGTTGGCTCCCCAGTCTCTGCCTGTGACCTACAACAGATAAATCTCCTAAAGACTGAAGGTGGTTTTTTTTTAATTTAACCTTTATCTCTCCAGATGACGTGAAGGTTAACGCTGTATAGGCAATGGGGCTGCCTTCCATGATAAGTCTCCACTAGTGTGAAACACTTTGCAATTTTCTGAGACTGCAAGTGAGCATGGCTGCTTTGTTACCAGCACGATTAGTTGTTAAAAATAAGAGCGCATACACTGTAGCAGCAGCTATTAAACTTAATTCCATTGCATTGGCTGGACTTAACTGAAGGGGGCTTGTTGGGAGGCTGTGAAAGTTTTATTTCCCTTAGTTTAGAGAAGTCAACTTTCTCCCCACTCATTTCTTGTTTATCTTGTCTTCTTTTTTTTTTTTGTAACCCTCCTCATTCTGCCTCAGGCACCAGCATACAGCTGGTACCACAAAACCTGAAGGTGGGCAGGACTGAAGTTCCCCTCCTAATAAAGGATTTCCAAGGGTTCAGCTGCGCTCAAGCACAGTCTCTGCAACTGACTGTTTGTACCTGTGTGGACAACGGCGCGTGCAAAGAGAACATTATTGGCGCAAAGTCAGTGGGTCTGGGACCAGGAGCGGTTGCGCTAATCATCTTGGCGTTTTTGCTTTTGCTGCGTAAGTAATTGTTTCATGTTATCTCAAAAGCGCGGTAAATATGGTCTGCAAGGCATCAGGAAAGAAACAGTCCAGCTCCCAGCTTTTATCATCTTGATATATTCTGTGTAAACTCCTAGTCTGTGTGAAGTCATGGCAGATCCCCAGCTCGTTTTGGTAACATCAGCATTTCACCCTCAAAGGATTTCAAGCTGTGCATTTTAAAATTAACATATACAACTTTAGTATTTGTTTATGGCTCTGTAGATAACAGGTGGAGAAGCAGCAAGGAATCCTTTCGGTGTTTCCCACACCTCCCCATGTGAACCCTAGCTCTTCCCACTCAAGCCACAGCGCTCTCTCCACTCTTCTCCCTCACTGCAGACCCAGGTGTGGTGCCTTGCTCTGCACACCACATGATGTTGTTTGTTGGTAAGACAAAATAGAAGCTCGAAAAGAAGAGAATGTAGCCAGGGTATGGCCATGTGTACCAGTGCTGCGTTTAAAACAGCAATAATTTATTGCTTGTACTAGTAACAATCTAGCTGTGGCAAAACAAAGTTCATGCCGTGTGAATACACTCTGCTTCTGTAACTGTATTGTTTTGAGTTCCCCAGGCAATGCTCTAGACGTGTCACAGGAGCGTGGAGGTAGAATTTACATGACACCATGTCGTTATCTAGTAGTAGAACAGGAGGAGTTAGAAATGCTGAGGTTGTACAGTGATATTTAGAGCTTGGTTTTGATATATGAGATCTTTGATAGAAGTATAGCTATGTACATGTGTGGTCATCTGCAGGATTGAGGCCCTGACAGCTTAATTATCAATTCACTATCTAGGAAACCATCCTGGCATATGTTTCTAGGAAATACCCTGAATGTTTGGGAACATATCTTCAGCCCTCATACTGATGACTAGCTCACTGAAGATATGTTTTGGTATGAGAGCTGACCAAACTTTGGTACCAGCTGTTAGCATGCTTTAACCCTAATCATCACATAGTTAATGGCAAACTACTATTTCCCCGTAGTTATTCCACTGCTACTGCTGCTGTGTCCCTGCGGCTCAGGAGCGAAGGGATTTGCTGCGATACCAGACTACAGCGAAGCGATGTTGCGTCAGTGGAACAGCGAAGGGGCAGCTCCCGAGGAGAAGGCATGTATCCCTAATAGCATTTCTCTTTGATTTCCAGCCAAGCATTCAGTTTGGCACTTGGCATCTCTTCCACATTATGGGCTGATGTTTCAGGCCTGTACAGTGGATTTTAACCACGTATGAACATTAATTAAAATTAATACTCTCTCAGTCAAGGATGCATGGAAGATGAATTCCATCAGCAGCTCTAGAAGCACCAGACATGGTGTTTAAATTCCAGAGTAAAGGGGAAGCAATCAAGCAAATGTTGATATCTGAGCAGGGAATAGGAGTGTGGGAAAAGCATTGATGCTGTAAAGAGGGAACCCTTTGCATTTGCAAGCCTGGAATGTTCTGTGCCCCTTTGGATTTGGGTCACAGTAAAGCAGTGAAAGAGTGGGTTGAAAAGCTTAGCTTCTAGTTTAAAGTTTCAGGTCACATTTTAAATGACTTACCTGTGTTTGTCTCTTAAACAGAGTAAATTATTTAAAAAAAAAAGCAGAGAAAAGTGTAAATTTGCAGAGAGAACAATGAATGCCAAGAGAAGTTTGCCGTTTCTTGTTATGCTACAAAACCCAGGTGTTTTTTGTTTTTTTTTAAAAAAAAAAAGCGTGACACTGGCATGCTTTTGCACAGTAACAAAGAAACAGAAGTAAGATAAGAGACTTTGATTTAGGGCCAATGCTCACACCAAATTCTTGATAGAAGACAATTAACTTAACAGGGAAGCCAAGCTGCTGGAAAAGAAGAAAAGGCCAGGCAGCACCATAGAGGCAACAGGCAGTGCACACTCCCTGGCTTTGTGTCTGGGGAAAGAAAGCTCAGCAGAGTCTCTCTTAAAACAGCTGAGCTCCCTGGAGTTTTGCAGCCCTTTTTTTGATGTGTTGGTTTTTTTTTTTTCCCCTGCTTTCGCTCTGAACCCTTTGAGTTTCAAGAAAACAATGATCTGTAGAAACTTTTCCATGATCCTCCTTGGGAAAACAGTTGTGGAGGCTGCACCCTGTTTCAGGAAGCCCTTTACTCTTTGCAGCAACATGTATAAACATGAATTAAAACAAGTCATAAAAGGGCACCCTCCCAGGTCCCACCCAGCTCTGCTGCTGGTTTGGTGAGTTCCATGTGCTAGACAGCACGGCTTTCATGTCTCATCCTAATTTGTGTTATTTATGTAGCCAGTGCTAAGCCTCATCCCATCCACTGCACTGGGGAACTCGAGAGGAGCAACCAGCGGAGCAGCAACGGCGGCAGCAGCAACAGGAATGAGTGGGGAGGAAACTGCAGCAGGAGGAGGCAGCTCTGCCTCTCATGTAAGAGAGCATCACACCACTATTACCAAGGAAAGATGGGAAGAGCAAAGACGACTCCTCTCTGGTGCTGAATATGGACCCATGGCAACTGGAGGGGATGAAGGCATGGCAGGTGTAGAAGGCAAGACAGTGGTGGCTGCAGGAGGAGTCGCGATGGGAGCAGCAGGAGCCATGAATGAAGAATTTTTAAGAGACTACTTCAATGACGTAAGCATATGACCCATGAATAACAGTATTTTGATATTTACATTTAGCGTTGTGAAATGCTGTTCATGTTACTACAAACACAGATGAGTAGATACGTATATATGTAAACAGTCCTGATATAAGGCCCAATGTTTTGTGCAGTCGCGATGGGAGCAGCAGGAGCCATGAATGAAGAATTTTTAAGAGACTACTTCAATGACGTAAGCATATGACCCATGAATAACAGTATTTTGATATTTACATTTAGCGTTGTGAAATGCTGTTCATGTTACTACAAACACAGATGAGTAGATACGTATATATGTAAACAGTCCTGATATAAGGCCCAATGTTTTGTGCATGTGGAGCTGAGGGTGATAAGGATTTTTGGATTAGGCTCACATGTGGGACTTAGAGCATGACAGTGCTCACTCCTGTAGTGCTGGGTGCTTACAAGGTCTCTCACAACGAGACCCTTCTCTCGAGGGAGGTACTTGGGAATGGAATCCAGATTATTCAGCAATGACCAAGGAGTCCCTTGCCCAGGAAGAAGCCATGAGAAAGACTATGTGATATAAATCTCAGGGCCTTAAGCACATTAAACTGGCCTGTAGGGAGGTACCTGTGACTCATCATGAGTCACAGCTACAGACTTTATAATGGAGCAGGTTTTTGAAAGATAAGCTGTAGTTGTCAAACAGTGGAGGGTGGGTCTGCATTTTCAAAGTAGCTGCTGAAGTAAGTGGTTCTGGACTTGTCTCTTTGCCCAATAGCCTGGGTAAAGGGCGATTCATCAGAATTGTATGAGGCACGTGTTGCAATTCCCTTTCTGCCTTTTTTTCTTGGTGACCTAACCATTGACCAATAGGCTATTCCTACTCATTGCAGCTATTCTTCTTTGCGTAATGTACATCATTAGTCCTTAGGCTGGTGAGCTCCTTATAGTGGAAGTTTCACTTCTATATGCCAGGGAGTGTACGGATTGTCCATCACCTATGGATGGTGTACAAATAAAACATTTTCACACCCTACAGCTGGCTGATGATGGGGTTCTGCAGGGGAGTAGCTGTGCAGTTTTTTGGCCACCTCAGGCCAGGGAAGGATTTGAGCTTAAGACACTTGCATGTCTCTTTGAGTGCTCTAGCTACTGGTCTTCTGGGTGAACAAATGCAACAGTAGCAATTCTGCTTTCCTCCTGCTCTTTGCTCTTCCTAATATTAAGACACACTTTAAGCATAGCTGCCTGCTGAAGTCCTGCAGGAGGGTTTTGTAAAGGACATACTAAAGTAACCTTCACAATTTCTGGGAGGCTAGAATATCTCAGATTACAGGAGAAAAACAAAACAAAACAAAAACCAAAAACAAACCACACCAGACAAGTCAAACTAAATAGTTTTAGATATATGTTGATTTTTGTAGAAGCATCTCAGGTAACGTGCCTATTTCCAAGATCAAACGCAGATAAACATACAGTCAATTTGGGTGATTTGTTTGCAGCTGGGCTCCTTGGGTGTGATCCTGCAGGTTACGCTAGTGAGAAGGGCCATGGCAGGTGATGACATGTCAACACATACACATTAAACATACGTTTAAATGTTAACGATACTCTCAGGCATGGTTTTGGTACTCTCCCACAAACACCATTACAGATGAAGTTCATTCACTGAACTAAAATAAAAGCAATCTGTTTGTGAGGATGGAGCAGTATCCCCAATGGCACAATTCCTGGTAGGAATAGCAGCAGGTAGTGATAGTACCCAAGGTTTTCAATTTAATTTCAGATTTTTCTTCTCATCAAGTGTACTGTCAAGTTCTGACTAATTTCAAAAAAGCAAAAAGCACTTTTAGGTACTGCCCTTTGTTGGTTGATGGTTTCTGTCAGTTCAGTTACATTTTCCTCTTTTAAACTTCTTGACCAAGCGTTCCTGATTTTCAGATTTACTAAGATTAAAGCTGACATTAATGAACTTTTGCTTGCTTCTGTTTTCTGTCTGTAGAAAGCTGTCTCTTTTGCGGATGAAGATGAAGCCCAAGCTGCAAACGACTGTCTCCTGGTTTATTCCCAGGGAGAGTCAGACTCCCCCCACGGCTCCATTGGCTGCTGCAGCTTTATTGAGGGTGATCTCGACGACCACTTTCTTGATGATTTAGGAGACAAATTTAAGACTCTAGCAGAAATATGCATAGGTAGAAACATCAACATGAAAGACGCTAACTCCAGGAATGAATCAGGATTCGGTCTTAATGACGCGAAGTTGCAAAATGCTTCCAGCTCCAAACAAGCCTTTGCCTCGGGCAGCCATTTCCAGCCCACTCCACCAGTGCACGCAGGAGAAGATACCGTGTCCAAGGAGGTGGTCACGGAAACAACCTTTGCCTCTCGCTCTGGGCAGCACGACATCCGGCCCCTTCCCACAGCCCACACAGAGACCAATTTCACCATGACAGAAACATCCTACTCTTCTGGAGCTCCTGCCCGCTCAGCTGCTGTCTTTGTAGACCCCCAGTTTAAGGAGAACATAGTGGTGACAGAGAGAGTGCTGGCACCTGCATCGAGCTTGCAGGGTATGGTGGAAGTCCCCGATTTGCCGCACGGAAGTAATGTGGTGGTTACAGAGAGGATGGTGAAGTCAGAGGGCTCTGGGCCAGGAGCCCTGATGGCTCAGGATCTCCCCGACTCCCAGTACGTCGTGGTGAGGGAGCGGGAGAGGGTGCTTGTGCCTGCTGCGGAGCAGGGCTCGCTCAGCTTCCCAGCTTTGGCAGAGGGGCGCAGCGTGGTGGTGAACGAAAGGGTGGTGACGGCCTCGGGGATGCAGGGCAGAGGCGAACAGGCAGCTGGTGCTGGCTTGGGAAGGCAAGAGCACATGTTGGTCACAGACTCCGTGCTTCACCAGGCGGGCTCCAACACAGAGGGGCTGCCTCCTGCCAGCGGCACGCTGAGCAAGTCTTCCAGGGTCACCAAATACAGCACAGTGCAGTACACTCGCTCGTAGCCTGGACCCTTGCAGGGGTGACGGCATCCGGCACCCTTGTGTCAGCGTATGTCTCACTTTGGGCTTTTTCTTGAGACCCGAGTTTGCATGGACTCACTTGCTGTAGATTGTATAAATAAGGATTACGACCAAGCAGCTAGTAAGGAAATCTGTTGTTATTAGGCAATGTTGAGAGCGATGCTTTTGAAGTGGAAAGATGTGGGAAATCTATTCTTTTTTCCTTGTTTGCTATTTTTGTAATTGCTTTTTATTATTCAGTTAGTGTAATAATACCACATAACCACAGCTGCATAAATATGGGAAAGCAGAAAGTCTAAAATGTAGTAGTGATGGGTAGTAGCCTGCAAAGCCTAAGTTAGGTTTCTGAACTGCTGTTTAGTGTATCTACTGAAGTCCCCCTTAAGGGGCATCGTTTTCTCATTGCGTGTTTGCCATCTTTTACCTTGTGGGCCAGGGCAGCTTCTCCTGAGCTGCAGCTGCAGATCTCTGCGCTTTGGTGGATTGCTAAGAAATCTCTCCCTCCTTAGAAGCCCAGGCTACCACCTCAGGGCAGTGGTGTGTTGATCTCCTGGAGGGATGTCACAACTTCGGATTATCGGCCTTTGTACCTTAAGCAATCAATATTTGCATATTAGCACAGGGGTTAAAGAGAGCAAGTAGCAAAAAAGCTGAGGACTGCAATTCTTTTGGCACCTGTATATAAAAATTCATCACTTTGTGTGCGTCTAGGCTGACTTGGACAAGTAAGCGTTTGCATCATACAGATTTTTCACTGGCTCCTAATTGGTCCTTTAATAATGTATGAGAAAGAGTCAAAACTTACCTTAGCTTTAGAGCCAGAGATTCAGTCAGTGGCTTTTCTAGCAAAAGTTATGGCTCTTAGACATCTGTAGGATCTGATTTACAAGTGCAATTAGCTAAGTGATTTTAATTCTGTTTGTGAACTCACAAGCACAGAAATGCAGCCTGACCTGTGTGCGTGTGTGTACGTGAGGTTCTGCTGGCTCCAGTACCACAGCTCCGGCAGCCTATGTAATGCTGTACAATGGCAGCTTTTCTTAGCTCTGACGAGACAAGATAAAGTGGCCTATAATTCTGCAACATTTAAACTTCATGGAAAGAGAAGTAATTTTGGGTGGTAAAAGCATAAGAGTGCGGCATGCTCTTTGACACTATGTATATATGCACATGTAAATATTTATTTGTATACAGTTTGAAACATTTTAAAGTGAATTTTATAGCCATACACTCCGCATGTTTTGTCCGAGTAGAAGGAAGTATTTTAGATTAGATATTCGTACCATGTTTGTCTCATACCTGTAAAATCAGCAAAGCTGATCATATGGTCAAAGCCCATGCACCTGCAGAGCTTTCTGGTTGCCTCCATCTTTGCTGGAGTTTTTCTGCAGGTGCAGTGTTATGTTTTCCACTGATGTGTTTTGCCTTTGGCTAGAAATACTTTCAGTGTATTTGATTTTACTGATAAGGATGTAAAAGTTGATTCAAAAACATAAACATAAAATGTAGGAACTATGGCTATGCTCAACAGAGTGCATCTTGACTGATGGGCCACTACGTAAAGTGGAGTACTTCTTCCAGGCAAATGAAACTATTTGTTTGCTTGAATCTGTTGGTTATTTATCCCTTGTATGTGTATTTACTTATAAGCAAGCATGCAGTTTCTGACTTTTTAATGGAGTATTTCTGTGGTTTTATGCAATCTTAAAATAAAGAACTCTACTGCTTTTTTTTTTTTTTTTTTTTTGCTGTTCTTCATTCAGTTTTAAGACAGCTATCCTGGTGAAAACACTGACTATCCTACTGCAAATAAAAAGATTAAAGATAGAATGAGGATTGAGATTTCCCAAACAGCCTGAAGGAATATCTGAAAGATACAATTGTTAACAAAAGTTGGTGTTCTGCTAATTTACAGATCCTGAAAAAAATGTGAGTTTTGCCTGCTGGTTAAGCACATCAAATTCTCTAAGAACTTGATGCAAGACAACAGCATCCCGTCCACGGATTTACTTGGCTTTGAGTCAAACTCTTCTAATCAGTTTATACTTCCAAACAACCTGGCATAAAATATTGTTTCAGTTATATAGTTGTTAAAATAGATAGTTGTTAACGTCCAGAAAAGAATGTGAGAATCAGGGCTGTGTCACAGAAATCGTGACTTCCCTGTGTATTGTTTATATATAAACTTTTATCACGGATTTGTTAGTGCTGTAAAGAGTCTATATGAACTGATTCGTTATGAGTGAATCTCCATTATTTGGCTTAGTCTTGTACCAAGACTTCAGATGCTATCAGCATGTGCTAATGCTGGCAAAACATCCATCAAATTAAATAATCCATCACTTCTAATGGAGCTGTGTTTTGTAAATGGAGGTGGTGGTGGGAGGAATGTACAGACCCAAACTAATGGAAACGCCTGGTTAGCATCTCACCACTAGATAACCCTGAGACTGAGACTAGCCCTAGACACTTATCTTTGTGAGAGATGCCTCATTCTGACTTCAAAAGTAAAAACAAAGCCTGTAATTTTCTTATCTAAAAATAACAGCATGGTTATGCTGAAATACCAGTGTGACAGGGACTGTATCCACACTGCTCCTTTGTGATCCTCACTAACTATGTCAGACTCCACGAGCATGAACCAGCGTGCCGTAGCAAGGACATGCTGTCCCAAGTGCCCACGACAAAGTATTTCCTGCGTCATGCCTTGGTGTGTACTTGGAGCCAGGCTAGGCTTTGCAAGACGGGACAAGATGAGGCTTTGAGCAACCTGATCTGGTGCAAGGTGTCCCTGCCCATGGCAGAGAGGTTGGAACTAGATGATCTTTAAGGTCCTTTCCAACCCAAACCATTCTATGATTCTATCTCTTTCAGGCTGTGTTCTTTCCTGGGAATTTGACCATTGTCCACCATCAAAGGCTTAAAGCTTATCAGGGTTATCAGCAATAAATCACTTTTTCAGAAGTTAAATAAATCAGCTGCTCTCCTGAGGAGAGCGGTGGTGTTTATGGCCTTGAGGCATCACAAAAATGCATCCCTCTCCTCTGCTTGCGCGGTGGCAGCAGAGCCGTCGGCTCTGGCTGTCTCCTCTATGGGGCCAGTTGGGTGCAGTTTTTGAGCCCATCTTGAAGCACAAGAGCTGGGAAGGTCAGCCCCTACGTGCCCGGGGTCCTTCAGGTGCTCAGTGTATCATGAAGACATGCCGGTACCTGCCGAGTGAAGGGCAGGCTCCATACAGGACCCTCTCCTGGGCATCGTCCTGTGGTGACTGCTGATGAGGGGTTACGGGACGAGGAGGGCTCTTGGCATGACCCAGGAGTGGCTCAATGTTGAGGTGGAACAGGATAGCGGTCACCTGAAGCAAACGGACAGTACATGAAGGAGGTAACTGGATGAGGAGACACGGGGTGCTTTGCTCTCTGCAGAGAGAGCAATCACTGAATAAAAAAACTACCGCGAGGCAGGGACCTGGTTGCCAGATAAGCCCTGCCCAGTGCCCCAGCCCTCCCGCAAGACTCTTTGCCAAGGAACAGCAGCACAAACAGCCAACGCGATCCTTGACCTCGCAAAGAGGTTGCGGTCTCCAGCTCCCGGTTCCTCTGGGTGGCCTCACCGCAGGAGCGGGCACTGCAGATCGTTATGTCTCCCTGACACATCCTATTGCTCAGCAGGCAGCTGAAAATCAAACTCGGGTTCCAGCCCTCACCCCCCATCCAAGAAGGGGATAGGTGGCATTACAGTCAATGCAGAACAGATGCTGAAAGCTCGTCCCAAAATAAGCACGTGTTATTTAGGTTCGGGTGCTGTCGCAGAGAGCATGGCCGTGTCTGCAGCTCTCTGTTGCCCGCCTGCCACGAAGGACACCTCCCTGGGCAGTACCGAGTGCTGGAGGGTCTTGAGCCTCGCAGTCCAAGGATACAGACAAAATAAACTGTACCAGTGGCCCATGCTGTCCTCCTCACTGCACCACGTCTTTATTTCCACAGCCAGAAAAAGCACCAAAGTCGGCAAAGCCGCAGATGTGATTCTGAGGCAGAGCAGGGCTGAGTACCTGCTACGCTGTTGTGTGCTGGGGAGGTGGTGGTATGGAGCGGTTATCCTCATTTTTACAGCTCCCCATTCGTGGAGCCACTGAGGCTGTAATGAAAGGGGGCATGAGAGTAGTGGCCACAGATGAAAATTGTATTTTTATTTAATACTAAGCAAATTTTTTGAATAGTCAAATGCTGAGGGAAACTGCCATCATTACCTTGTATTAGCGAGGAAGCCCAGGGAGAGAGGGATTCGTACCGTGCAGATGTTCCCTGTGGTTACCTCATTATTTTCTTTCAGTTACCAAAATATGTGTACAAAGTGATAGCACTGGTTTTAAAATTGCCCTGAAACCTCATTTCCTTTAAATATGTAACAGAAAGCGTCTTCAGCCGAACAGTGGGAATGCCTCCAGAAGGTGCTGCAGACGCCCTGGGGAAAAATCATGTGGCAAACAGTTTGTTGTGCAGGGTGCTGGGGTGGGAGGGTTTATAGCCTTCCTGCCTCAGCACCAAGCTGGTTTCTGACCTACGATTCAAGCATTTCATCAGAATATTTCTCTTAGATCTGTTATCTCTAGCAAATAAAACCCAGAGACAAGATATCACCTCCCAGTGATTAAGCAATAAACTGGATTGATTTCCTGGGTAATGATTATTCAAGATCTTTGGAGCATGGCTGAAGTTTAAACCCTTGGTGACCAAAGGAGTTTGTGAGGACAGTGCTGGTACCAACTGACTGGTGTCCTTCAGGCTTGGAATCCAGCCTCCCAAATCACCCGACTACCCTTCTCCTGCTGGGGACAGAGGATGTGGGAGCAGCTGTGGAACAGAGGATGGTTGTGGATGCTGAGCTGCTGGGAGTAGCTCGGTGGCAGCAATGTGGCACTGGGCAGCAGGAGGGCACCGGCTTTTGCAGTGCCCCAGGCTGGCTACCAAGGGCACTGGCTG